AAGATGACATTAGCTTTAGCTTCTTCTGAAGCTTGAATAATATCAGTATAGATAAATATCAGATAACAGTTATTGAAAATTTCAGTCCATCTATAGTTCTTATTTTATTCGAAATGGGAAAAAATAGGTTATAGAATACACTAGTTCAATAGATATACTATAAATGTAGATGTAAATCTTCAATCAAATGATAATAGCATAAAGTATTTTTGCACCAAGCACATTTTAATAATGTTCGTTTATCATAATCTTGGGATGAACAGTATAAATCCACCCTTAATGAGATTTTCGAATTGTGGAGCTGATAGTTGACTATGCATGACGGAATGTACGTTGATGAAATATTGCCGATCGCTTAAATTCAATTGTGTTCGATTTTCTTGTGGAAATATCGCCATAAACGAAGTAATGATAAATCTTGTGGTTGAATATGACCAGTTGATCCTTCGGGAAAAATCAATAGTTGACTGTCTTGATGTGGAAATACTTTTCGAAATTTATTTTGATCAGTTCGAATTATCCAAGAATCAAGGAAGAGAAGAAATTTTTTATGTACACAAGGATGTAGTACATCACTTAAAAATATATAATGGTTTGCAGCAGTGCTTTTTCCGGATTTTGAGGCTTGTACTATAACATTTGGTGGAATAATCATATTTTTTATCACTATACTGTCAAATTCATCTTCTCTTTCTTGAAGAACAAGTAAGAATTTGTTCAGTAATCGACCAGCAGCTGATGTAACAGGTTGCACTGTACAAGAATGAGTGACATTGTGGTTTCTTTTAATAGCCACTTCTGTTGTTCTTTCACCAGTGAAAGAAAGAGTTAGTGGAGAGGCATATTCTTTTTGAAATGAACAATGATCGCTATTTAAAATTTGATCAGAAGAATACTTTGATATCAATGTTCTTTTACTTTCGATCCAATTTCGAGCATCTAAAATATTTTGTAAATTAGATAGTACGTATTTTTCAACAGCAAGTAAAAGTTTAATTACCATTTAAGCTGCAGACTTTTCTATTCGATCTAATTCTGGTAATGAGTTTATTGTACCGTCGCGATGATATACCATTTTCTTTTTTAAAAGTATTGATAAAGGGTTTGCTTGTCTTGAATGCATCGCAATCTAATTCTCTTGCTTTTTGAATTGCGTAAAGTTCTAAATCATCATCATGAACAGCTTCTTTTTCAATTGTTCTTTTCAAATAAAATTCATTAAACATAAATTCCTTTATCTGTTTTAATTTTTCTAATTTAGTACCGGTATTTTCAATGTATTTTCTAAATCTTAATATATACTTCATAGATTTGATTTTCCGAAATCAATGAGAAATAGTTGTAAATCTAGCATTTGGATGTTCATCAACCCATCCGATTATATTTTCAATTTCTTCTAATGTAAAATGATTTTTTATATCATAGTGTTCATTCTCATTATAATCATCAGCTTCACTATCACTATCACTATCTTCTTCTTGATCGGTTGCTTCTTCATCATCAGTTAATTCATTATATTCATCAGCTAATTCGAGAGTATCATAAGTATGAATTTCACTGAAATAGCTATCTTTGAATGACTTCAGAAGCTCGAACAACTGCTTGGAAGCACAAATTTCATCAATAGTAATAGCAGAATGTTCATATCCATATTCAGTTTGAGTTAAATAAACAAGATGTCTAGCGATATTCAATAAATTCATGTTTTAATTTGATTAAATGAATCTTTTTATAGGTTAAATATAGCAGAGAAAACAAGAGAGCAACTATTGAATAGTATATTTCTTGGTAATTTCTTGACACCAATCATACAGAAATGGCCAATAGACCACCAAGTGATACATCAATGCACTTTTAGTGCATGAATTAACGGTATAAGTCAATTGTCAAATGCATTATTTAACTTGTTTTCATTTTAATTGTATTCAATTTTCAGAAGAGACTAAAGCTAATGTCATCTTACT